TACCCGCTGGCCCCCCGCACGGAGGCACCGCAAGGACCCTTCGCTGCCTCGTGTCAGCATCCGCCCCGAGCTGATATTAATGCTTCCCCTGGCACGGGTTTCCTCCAGGCAGCTGGGACCGTGGTTTGCGGCCGCGCTGGGGCTGCTCAGCAGCTCTCCTATGGCAAACCCCTCTTCGAGACCTGTCTGGATGAGAGCAGGCAAACCCTCCATGGCCCAGCCCGGTGGTGGCATCTAACACGGCCAGGACCCATTAATCTGCTAATATTTATAAGTGAGACTGCAGGGAGTAACCTCATTTCTAGGGAGAGCTTAATTAATCATGGAATCAAACTGACTCGCTGAGATGGTTTGCTACCGAGGAGATAAATTCGCATGGCCAGCAGTGGCTGAGGATGGGGACGAGGTTAGCGGGGACCTAAAATCATCGCGGCTGATGCTCGTGAGCAGAGAAGGGGACAGGGTGAGGGGGGTGCCGGGGCATGCCTGTCCTCCAAAACCTTTCTCTGCATGGGGAAGCAAATGCGAGGGGCGATGCTGCAGTGGCACTTTGCCCCTAGCAGGGCAGAAGTAAGAGTGTTCCCAGCCTGTCCAGACCATCTCCCTGCAATGATGGCAAGGCAAGAATGTGGAGGGCAAAATCATAAGCTGGAGGGGCCTGTGGGCAGTCACCCAGTCCCAAAACCTAGGCAGGGAGGTGTCGGGGTCCCGGGATGCTCTCAGAGCAGGAGCAGAGTGCAAGCCAGCCCTCAACCCCTGCCGACTGCCGCAAAGGGTCCCGGTTACGTCTGCACTGGGTCTTTTGGCCAACTAATCATCGTGCAAATGACATCTTTGCCCTTGCCGCTGACCTTGGCAGCATTCAAATGGGCAACCCGCAGGTCAAAGTCTTTATATCCTATTACCAGCCTCCTGAGTCATGCCTGTCCCCTGGCAAGTTATATTATTTTGAAATGGCAGCTAAATGGGAAAGGGGTCATGCTCCCAATACGGCGACAATAGGACATGACAGCACTTTTCTGAGTGATTAAGCCTCAGGTGATGTCAGGGCTACAAGACAAGTGGCTGAAGGCTGAAAGACTTTAATCACCCTGGACATGTCATCGCATCCTCGCGCTCCATCCTGCTGGGGGTGAGCTTTTAGTGCAAAACGGGAGCTATAGAAAAAATCATCAAGCCCAACCTGTGCACTCACCGGTTAGTTATCTGTGCTGCAGGTACTGCTGTTAATAATCAGCCGGAGCAGCCTGTTGGCCCTCAAAGATCATTCTGCAATAAATAAGCTCTGGTGCCTTAAAATAACTGCCTGGGGCCGCCGGAGCAGACACTAGATGGCATTGGGAGATCACGCCGTGCGGCGCCGGGCACCTTCCCTGGAACAGTCTGGCAAAGCAGAGCAGAAAACTCAGGATGACGGAGCAGAAAATGTCTCTGCCGGGGAGAGGCTGCCAGCTCACCTCCAGCCTCGCACCAACCTTGCAGCGGGGCTGCTTCCCGGGGCGAGCGTGGGGGAGCTCGCAGTGCTCGGCCTCTTTGCTGAGCTAATAAAATCATTTCTCCCTGTATATTTTATTCCTCTTAATGAGGATCTGGGGGCCGGACCCTGCACGGCCGCTCGTTGCTCCCTGGAGCCCACCTGGCCCTGCCGGCACCAGGGCGGCCGTGCGGGGCTCAGCTGGGCTAGCGTGCCCTCGGCCACCCTGCACAAGGGGTGGCTACGAGGAGCGGGGCTTTAAAGTGAGTTCGAAGCCGAAGGCTGCTGCTGACCCGTCCCTCCCCTGCTGACACCAGAAACTGCAATCTCCCTTCACATGGCAGGGAAGATTTTCCCCCTGCAGATGGGGCACGTGCTTTCCCGGCCACCGGCAGACAGAGGGGTCCACGGGGGAGAAGGAAACGTCCGATGCGGGGACATGGGGGCTGCATCCCCACAGCCAGGCGGAGGCTTTCAGCCCCAGGGAAAGGCAGCTGAGGATTAACCCTGGCGAGGGCAGGGGCAGGGCAGGTTTGCTCATGTGGAGGGCTAAGATGCCCCAAAGCACCCCAGCTCGGTGCCTCGGGAACCCCAAAAAGGCAGACCCTGCCTGCCAGCCGCCATCCCTCTGGCCCCAAATCCCTGGCCATGGGATGGTTTGCGC